GGGGTTATTTTGGGCAAGCATTAAGAAAGTGGAAAAAAACACATAAACTTAATCAATGAGGCTTGAGTGTTTGTTTTTCTTTTTTTTTTAATTTTCTTAAAGAGCCTACAATGGAACTGCTTCAGCATTACAGTAAGTTGGTACGTCGTGAACAACCACAGTGTGAATGCGTTCTTAGTGCCATTTTGTCTGTAACGTTTCCTCAGGAATTGGATTCATCCCAATTCAAAAAAAGCAGTGGGATTTTAAGCACTGGTTTAAACTTAAGAAATAGCCTTTCTTGAATTACGCTACCAGTTCCCAGATGCAACAGTTTATATTTGATTATGATTTAAAAAGAAAACCGAAACGTGCCATGAGTAGATGACACTCAGGTAAAACCAGTAAAAATGAGAAAGACCGTACCCAGGAGACCTGCACACAGAAGAAACAACAGGATTAAGTAATGAAAGCACTCCATGGACTTCATTAATTGTTAAAACTCTGTTCAGGACCCTTCTTAGTGCAATGTCCCAGGCAGAGCATTCTCAGGCTGGTCATGTGCACAGCACAAGCTCCTCTTCCCAGTTGCAAAGATATAAATGACTTCTTGAGGTACAAGGTAGTAAAGTAGCTCATCCATTACTTCACTTCACCCCATGGGTCACAGTTACCCTCTTTGATCGTGTTGACCCTCATCTGAGCTCAAGAAAAGCTGCTGGGTATGCGGCACCATTGCCTTTATAAAAGGATTTGGGGTCCCACTGAGCTTTTGTGAACGCCTGGAAAGTTCCTTCTATTGCAATAGCTCTTCAACCAGAGGGATGTGGTTTGTAAATTCCTCTGAAATATGGACCCCCGTAAGATTTATTGATGAATGTCCTGCATGTCTCATTCCACAGCTTTCTCACGGCTATCCTGGGAATGCTCAGTGGGTTTTACCGAACAAGACCTGTGGAGAGCAGACTACATGAAGCGGAGGCACAGCTGGGCAGGAGGTGGAACAGGCATCTCCTCGGCTGACTGTTCTGCCTTTTATAAATGCCCTAGTAAACAACATTCTTCTGTGCCCTCAAGAACCACTAATTAATTCCCATCCCACGGTAACTGTATAAAGAATCATCTTCCTTTCTGCCATAAAAAGAAGCTATTATGCTAATAACCAGGTAATTTAACCTGGAGTAAGTGCTTTATCATTTTGCAGCCTATTGCAGAAAGGTGCAGAACATTGTAAAGGCAGGATAAGTTACACCCTCAGCCTCCACTACTAAATCAAATGGGCACAGTTACCTTTGGTACTGGTATTTCAACAAATGCTACTCCTTAAAAATAGAGCACAGTTACAGCTGAATTGTTTACTATGGTTACTCTAGGAAAGAACTGCTGTAATCTCAAAATGGTATTTCAAAATTTTTACATGTATGTATAGGAACTCATGTAATTCATAACCATAGTTATTTTGACCTAATTAATTTTAGCCACATAACATGAGAACAATTTAAAATACCAACGGTTCAGCCCAGACCCAGATCTTGACTTCAAGAGTGACAGAAACCTGATGTCTCCTCCAGCAGCAGCTTACAGTACCTCTGCCCTCATATACTTTTCCAGTTGTCAACTTGGTGATTCCCATATAGTATCCTTGAATTAATAGCTCTTGATGGATTTTTTCTCCATAGAAATTCACCTGAATATTTCCTTAGCTTATATAAATTCCTGACATCCAGCAGCATCCTGTGGCAAAGAATTCTACAGCTAAAGTATGCATTTTATTTTTTGAAAAGTACTTTTTGTTTGTTACCAGGTAATTTTATTTGATACTCTACTGCTTTTATTTTGAGCAACAACTCATCTTTCCTGTTCACCTTTTATGTTACAGTAGCCATTCTGTATGCTGCTATCATCTTACTTTCTGCCAACTCCTTTCTGAGCCAAAAAAAAAATATTTCTAATTTATGTAGTTCTTTATACAGAAACTATTCAATATACTTATGCATTTTTCTCTCATTATTATACCTTTTAGTTCTGTCATGCTTTTTGAGTTGAAGGGGCCCCACATGCAAGATGGGGACTCACCTCGGACTTCTACAGCAGCATGAGGGACTTTGCTTTGTTCTTGACTCCTCTTTTGTGGAACAAATGAATATTTTGGGGGTGGCATAGGGGAAGAGAATGATGAGGAAATAAATATTCCTTGTCTCCTGCTGCCTGAGATGGCTGCAGCACAGCCTGCATCCCCATGGAATCATAGATTTAATTTATATTTACGAACATTTTGGAGATAATCAATCCATTATAATTTTAATCTATATTTCTGCCTATTCACACATACATGTAATCAATTCACCATCTATTTGCTTGAAGGAAATGATTCATTGTGTGAGTTGAAACAGTGGCTCAATAAAGCAGCAGCCTAGCTTCTGGGAGCTCATCACTCAAAGATTACAGTTTGGGATCACATTACTGCTGCGCTGGTACAGCTGCAGCCCAAATGAGTTTTGTCTCTCCAGCTATGTCTGTGCAATGGCGTTAGTGTCACTACTGATAACAAATGCATCCTGGGGCAAAATGCCCAACTCTGAAAAGCACTGTCTATTTAAATAAAGCAAAGAGCTAAGTGATAGTCAGCTGTTCAGCGAGATTGATTTGTTTAAAGCAATCAATGACCTTTTATACATATCTTGATGGATTCCATAGGAGGCTTTAGGAAAGTTTCAATCCTGTTTTAAGATACCTTAATTTTACTTTCTTTTTCTTTTCTTAAACTTAGTTATCCAGTGTAATTACTTTAACTAGGCATAACAAAGTTGTTGCAGAAGTTAACTCCTTATAAAGTGCATCCACTGAAGTTGCTGGATTCATGGGTCCGAATTCTGCCTCGTTTCCTTAAACACAAATTGAGACAAATTCAACCTCAGTCAGAAGCTATTGTTTCGAACCACAAAAACAGAAGTGCTGTTGGGTTATTTTATTTTTGTTTTCTTAAAGGCACTCTGCCAAGTTTATTTCAAGATACAGTTGTTCGAATGAAGATGAGCACCATCCTTTGTTCTTCCTATTACAGAAAAACCTTTGTTTTCTTTGCCAAAATAATATTTTATCTTTGCTAGTTATGTTTCATAAGAGGATGTTACGAGGCTCCTTATTTTACAATGTTTGGGAAGCATTCTTCCATTTCTTAAATGATAGTATCCCTAATTTTCTTCTAGTAATATGCCTACTTAAAACACTTGTGGTGGAAATTTGAGTCTATTCTGAGTAATCTTCTGGTTCTTATAAACGCTCCTACTGTTTTGGGGAACTATTACTACACCATTTTTTAATCTAGGTTCCTGACCATACAAATTGTTGTCTTATGAGAGTGTAACTTTGTTTGTGACCTGGATAACTTTGATAGGAATTTTCCTTTTGCTTGCTGTAGCTTTCCTCAAAACTGAGGTAAATGCTATACCCCAGCTTTGATCTTGTGCAAGTCTGAACCGGCACTCTCCACTGCATTTCGGTAGATGCAAGGAACTGTTCTTCTTTTTCCTGGGCCATACCTTCTTTACAAAGCAGTTTTAATCTTAGCAATATAAAATGCAACCTTTTGCGCGACAAATTTCCACTTAAATGAGCAGCTGTGCTCGAGATCTGTTTCCACTGCTTGCAGCCTCACAGGCTGGAAGCGGGGAAGGTGGGAGAGACTTTAACCCATTGTCCCACCCTCTCGTGCCAATACAAAGGTGACAGAGGTGGCTGCAGTTAAGGCAGCTCAGCTTTAGCCATCAACATGCTCCTGGATCTCCACCCTGAAGTCCCCTGTGACCTGCAGCTGATCAGCAGATCTTGAGCTGTAGCAGCTCAGACAATTAACTAATTGGTGTTAACCACTGCCAGCTTGTGGTTAAACCGCACTGGTCTGTAAAGAGCCAAGGAGCGTGGTTCTGACTCACAAGTCCTACTGGTTTTCTTCGCTGGGTTGAGGAGAATAAGGCCCCTCCCTGCTGTGAGGATGGCAGCGATGCCAGCAGGCACATTGTGAGGCGGCCCCAAAAGCCCGTTGCTTTGGTCACCCTCTGCACTCCCTCATCCATTTACCCAGCAAAAACCGACCAGATTCTCCATCTCTTCTGCCTGAGAAGTGGCATATTCCAGGATGGGAGCAAGTAAACTTGGGAACTTGATAAGCCCTGGGTGATTTTAACATTTATCTCACACACTCTACCCAAATATTTATCTTTGCTTTCCTATGGCAGAGAATGGTTGCAGGCTCAGCAATAAAAAGTGTTATTCTGCTTCACTTAATAGCTAACCAGTTTGCTGTTTGTATTATCAGTGCATAAATATCCCTCAGTAAAAAGGGCATGATTTTTCTGTGTTTGCATGGCAACAGAATTGCAATGGCTTAAAATTCTAGATTTCAAAATGTATCTGCTTTTATAGATAATTCACAGAGCAGTCTAAATAATACTTCCTCAGTCACTTTCCTCCATCATTTACTGGCATGCTTTGATCAGATATAAATGAAGCATCATGTTTCTCTGCCCGGATCAGATATCTACAAGGTCTTGAAACCAAGTTTCCAACACAAATATGTGAAATTACTAACTGTAATTTTCTATTAATATGCTTTAGTATTTGAAAAAAAAATGGTAGCATGGTAAACATTTGAGTAACAGTTATGAGAATTCTTGTGCAGACTGATCATGAAATGGGGCGAATACAAAGTGGCTTCCATCTGAGGAGTTGAATAAGGATATTTTTTTTCTCTTACATATTTATTTGTCTGTAGTCAGAGCGGCAGCATTAGCTGCCATGTGCTGACAGGCACTTCATTAGCTTTACTTTGAAGTGAAAGCTCATCAGAAGATAGATATTTAAGAGACTGCCTGGAAAGAGAGATGCTGGATCTGAATCCTGGATCCATTGAGTGTTGTGGTTGCTATTTGTTACTTCAAAAGAAAAGCTATGCATGACTCTGAATTATACACCTATTTAAAGCAGTTGCCAGCTTCGATTCTTCATCCTAGCAAAAGGGCATTGCATTAAGTATGGCAGAGAGAAAGATAAAATCACTGCAGAAAAAAACCCTGACAGAATCTTCAAACCAAGCTGAATTTGTGGCCAGCCTGTAGTTTAAGGACTTTTTTTTTTTTTATCTATCCTCATTTTTTTTTAGCTTCAAGCTGACTGAGTCAACAGCGTCTTTCATCAATGGAAATGTAATATGATTGTATGTCAAGAAAATCCAGCAAAGCAACATTAGCTTATAGGTAAGAATTTAATGCTCAAGCACGCAGATTTTTTTTTAATTCTTAGGACCAAATTCAGTTCTCTACTGCAGAAATTTACTCAAAAAAACTTGCAAAAACATTTGGTCTCAGCACAATTCCAGGCCCAAGAAGTTCTAGGTAAGCAGAACTGGGCTCATTTCACAACATTCAGATTTCACAAACTATTGTAGTTCCGTGCATTTGCATAAATAATATAACTAGCCCTTAATATTTTTGGTAGCAACCAAAGCCTGCTCAGAGCTACAGGGAGTTCTCTACACTTTCCATTCGCTGAGAAAGCAGATGACGATGATGTAGGGTAAATTAAAACCAGCATCATGAACAGAAATGAAGAATAACTGATACAAAGTTTATATCCCTGAGATGTTTGAGATCCCAGGACTTCACATGAAGATTGTTAAAAGGTTAAGAAAACATGGGGTAGGTAGGTAGCCCCAGTTTATCTTAGCTATAATATCAGGTATGGGGAGCTAATGTTCACTGTAGGCAGAACCTACATTATACAGAGAAATAAAATATCTGTAACTACATTAGTTTGGGTTACTCTTTCAAAATAGGTTTTGAAATCTTGCCAAAATCTTAATGTTTAAGAAAAAACCCCAAAACCAAAAACCAACCAACCAACCATCCATCATCACCAATTTCTTCTCCACAGGAGTAGTTTTCACTATTTTTCTGCAAGAAAATATCCCCTACTTACATACTTTTTGAAACAGAAAAGTCCTTATTACTTCATTATGAAATTACTGAACTTCAGAAGAGATTTGTGACTCTCAATTTTACACTGAAACTGCATACAACCAACTGCCAAAAGGCCTCTCTTTTTCTTATTTCATCCTGATGTTCAGCATACATCCTGCCTCCCATCTGTTTTCAAAAAGCCAGACTACTCAGAGGAGGTTTCAGTAGCAATATTAGCTATATAAAAAACCTTCCTCTCCTTCTTCACAACTTTCTCCTCATTCTAAGTACCTGATTCACCCAGTTTCACAGGAAAGTAAGTCCCAGGTAACAAATGTTTCAAGCCTAGATTGTTTTTAGGCATGTTTACTCTGTAAATATCTAAACATCTTAATTAAAAAAAGAAAAAGTAACTAGCATACCCAAACTGTATCTCCCGTATCACTGCTCAGTAGGGAAAATACAACTAAAGAAACTGCAGGACTAGTCACCCAGCATCTGTGTTTGGAAGCAGTTCATCTCTGGGATTTGAACTTGAACAGAAGCCCAGGAAAGCACATATTCAACATGCAGTGATTCAGTGACGTTTAATACAGCTCATCTCTTAAATGAAGCAAGAAAAGAATTAGCCTTCAGCTGATAAATCCCTAAAGACTATGGAAACAGCAACTGTGTTTTCAAAGTTAGTCTAAATTTTAGTTAAATCATTATTTAGTCTGCGGAAAAATGTGTCTTCCTAAGCAATTGACCTCAGTCCCCACACTTAAAGACTGATCTGCTCTGGTATGAAACTTTTTTTTGCTGAGTAAGAACCATCAGATTTCAGGTTTTCAGACATTTAGAAGCAAACAGTTCTCATAAAAATTAAATGTGTTTTTTTTTAATAGCAATATCTCTGTTAATGATATAATTTTGTAAAGAAAGCTATAATCTCTGTGGGATTTTTAACAAGTATGTTAAATTGACAGACAATAACATTCCTTCTTCCATAACGTTATTAAAAATATAAATACTACAGACAGGTTTAAAGGACTATGGTTTATAAGATTCTCTGCAGGAGTCTAACTGCCGTTATTAGCCATGTGCCTACATGACTGCCCAAGCTCACGTATGCATTTGTGTGCACATGTACCTTGTTTATGTCCCTCACGCATTTAGCACAGGGGATATGCTCAGATTTGCAGATTTCACTGCTTTACTGTAACTTTGTGCCTGGCGATAGCTCTGCGTGCTGTGTGAAGACAGAGCTGGGATGGACCAGCTCCAAAATCCAGACATACCTTTTTCCAGAAGAGCTTGCTCAGTGGCATAGGGGTGGAGGATGCTTTCTCCTTGGTCACCTCTCTGGGGACTTCAGTGGCCACCACCTGCTGCTGCTGGGCTGCAGGCTCAGGGGCTTTTGTACTCTGCTTAGTGGTCTGCGGCTCTTGAGAGGAAGGGACATTTTTGTCTGATTTTACAGCAGTAACAGGCTGCTGTTCGGTGCTCTAGAACAAAACATGAACACGTAGGTTATTGGAAACATGTGACGGACAAGATACTCGCTGCATGCTCAGGCAGCACCTGGTGCAGGTGCGTGGCGGACCCCCACTGCACGGAACATGCCAGGCAACAAGGTGCAGCCCACGAGCTGCATCCTGTCCTTTCCAATGAACTAATGTCTCGAACAGAGGAAAAGAGTTCCAAAGCAACCCACCCTTTGTAATAGAGATGATTAATTGATAAAGAAATTAAAACTGTCGTTGAGATTGAAAATGACAGTGAGAATAATTACCCTCTGACGGCATTATTCACACAGATAACTCAAATCATCCTACTCACTTTGGTATTAGTTGTCTGTTGGGTCTCTTTCGCAGCCTGAAGGGAAACAAAACACAAAGACAAGTCTGTCTCTGGCAATGTCAGCGCTCACACAGTTCAGGAATTGTCTGTGTCACAAATTATTTTTATTTTTAGTGAATGTTTGTGAAAAGTCCTGGCTCCCGCACCATGGAAACTGATCCCTGGCAGAGGCGAGGCTGCCTGGAGGGAGCGTCAGCTCTCAGCCTTCTACCTGCAGCAGCACTGCAGCCTTGAGTAGAATTGCTTTGCGCTCATGCTGCTGCACTTGCAGTCCTCAACTTGCTCTTAAAAATATGTGTATTTACATATGGATTCCCATTTTCTTCAGGGTTTAAAATATTGGCAGAGATTTTTCTGGACTGGGGCTGCATGTGTGGCTTTCAGTGCACACGTACAAGCCAGAGCTGGATCTTTTCCGCAGGTGGATTTACACACCAGACCGGGATGTGCTGCCATCACCTTCAAAGTGGGAAATTCTGCTTTCTGGGATACGAGACAGGCAGATGACTGCCTGGAAGTGAAAGGGCACAGAACAGCAGTGGTTTGCTGAAGAGCAGCAAGCCAAAAACTCAAGTAACTGTGAGCCCAGCACCCCTGGGTTTAGGCAGCCTGCCACATGCTTTGGGTATTTCTTGAAAGAATAGGTGAGTTATTCTGCAGGAGCCAAGAATGTCTTTTTGTGGTTAGCTCTCATGAACAAGGTCCAGAGCAAGTGGTAAGAAATGGTGTAGTGCCACAAGGTGGCTTCAATACTAACGCTGAAAATACGGGATTAACTTTTCTGTTTCAAGTAAAAAATTCATCAATCAGTATAGTTATTCTACATAACTGGCATGCGCTGCCAGGCAAATACATGTGATAGGAATAAAAGACCAGATAGGGACCCCACTGTCAAATGCCATCCAGACTCAGTCTGTGAGATCAAATGGCCAAATCACATTGCATCAGCTTATGTTATAGATCTTTATTTAAACGCGGGCTGCTATTGGGAAAAAAGCATTCACAAGTTTGGGTAATGTTAGTATTCAGGTAGACACAAAACACTGAAAAACAATGTTTCTGTTAACCTAATAGTCAATCTATTCTTCACTAAGGTACAGAGAAGCAGATTTTTTGAAGACCTGCAGTGAAAGAACTTGCGGAGGAGAAAAAGAAGTGCTCAGAAATAAATATGAACATATATTAAATTGATGATTTCAAATAAAGGATTTCATTACCTATTCATCTGGTTGATATATCATGCTAAGGCATTTCAAGTGAAAAGAGAGAAACAAAACTATTTTATTTTTAACTAGAGGTGATAACTTCAGGCTTGCTTGTCACATCAGTGCTCTGATTTGAAGTTCCACTTTCAATCAGCCTTACAAGCAAACTGTTGGCATATTTTAGTCCATCATCATCTCCTCTATTCTTAAAATGTCATAAATTATACCTCAGTTATTGCTTCTGTATTTTGTATGCAATAAACTTAGAAACAAACAAACAAAACCTACATAAAAAGTAATGACATTTTAAAAGACAGATTTTATTGGTGTAAAGTGTTGTATTCCTTCAAGATAACTGCTTTCATTCCAGACCAAGTCTTTAAAAGTCTATCAAATAGCCCTTAAAAAATGCTAGCCAGATACATTTTTTTTACCAGGAAGGCCTAATTCATTATGAACAATTTATAACTTAATCGTATTAAATATCAAAATTATTAACTATCAATGTAGTATATTCAAGACGAGATCCTAACTTTAAGCTGTTGGCAAAAACTGTAGACTTAAAACCATTGGGAAGATTATTATTCCTTCAGTAGTAGGCAGATGACATTTTTGTCTCCAAAATGAGACAGTGGAAAGAACATTTTTATTTTGAAGAAATGCTAAAGAACTCCCTTTGCTTTGTGCCCTTGACTATAAAGCCCCCTACTCACCAGAAATTCCATGTGGGTGTTTTGAGTGAGCATTAAACATTAATTACTTTCCTCCCCCAGCATAGGGGTCTCTGCTGCATTCTTTGGGCTAAAAAGCTACAATTCTCTGCTTGCCTGCCACAGAACATCATGACAGATTATCTTCAGAGAATGCAGAAATGCCCAGATATGGAGCTCAGACCAAAAGTTTCCAACATTTTTTTATAACAAAAGTTAATGCCCCCTGAAACAAAAATTTGCATAAAAAGGTGTGCATTTTGAGCAACTTCAAAGTATTGTTGAAAACCAGACTTTTCCCCTCCAAAGAAAACTTAGATTTCAATCATCAACTACTTTTCGTGTTTTCAGTGAAAATTAACTATTTCTGAAGAAAATTCCATGCTCAAACCTTCTCTGTGCTGTATTAGATGCCTCAGTTCACCAAATCAGCAATTTTAACCACATGACAGTGCATATTAAGGCAATGTGGGTCATAAAGCCTTACGTACAGTTGGCTTGAGCTCTTAAACCTGCCCTACAATTGCAGGTACTTTTCACATCCTCATAATTCATTGTTTCTCAGTATCTTTTCTTTTTTTTTTCATTTTAGGTGGCTGGGGAGGTTTAGTCAGCATTAGTGAGCGTAACTGGGAAGCACGTAGCAGTGGAGGTTAGAGGAATAGTTTCAGAATCCTGAATTCACAGATGGTATAAGAGAGAAATGTTGTACATGAAGATCATTTTCATGGCGCTGGGCACAGAAATGCTCACGCCAGCAGTTTTGAGAGCACTGCCCAGATGCTAATTTCAGTTACCAATTAAATAACTTTGCTCTCTGACAGGAGCCATCTGTTACTGCTCAGGGTTCTGCTCATGCTAGAGTTTCATACAGACCTTGTGCCTAAAGAGTTTACTAAATGTACTGTGTCCTAGCTTGGGACTCTCTGCCTTCTTTTTCTTGGCTCCTTTCGTTTGGGATTCTGCCGTTGTTTTCGGAGCAGGCTGCCCACCATGGCCTTTTTCCGCTTTTGATCCCTTTTGTACAACATGTGAAGTTGAGTACTTACTGCAAAGTTCTTATTTGGTTCAGGAAAGACATTCAAACACTCAAACATCTAGTATTAGAAACAAACATTCCCTTTTGTGCCCTGCACAACAACTTATGTTTTCTTCTGGGTCATTACTCAGTTCTCCTCAGACTTTCTTTCATGTGAGCAGTGAAATAAGTATGAAAGCTAAGGCAATCCAATTGTTGGCTCAGAATTAAGCCACAATTTGCCCCCTAAAATTTTCGTTGAGACCCAAATCCCACAGACAGAGACTGCTGTATTTTAAATTCATGCATAACCAAATGATTTTAGGATATATAATTTTAAGATAGGCAAATATAAACGTCTTTGAAAATATCTTCAGTATTTTTATTGCAGTATTATCAGCACTTTAAAATGTTTTGCATAAGGCATTATTTAGGAAAGGGGCAGGATGAATATTCATGAGCATACATAAAATATTTCAAGTTTGCTCTAGTGTTCATGGAATTAGAAATTCAAGCATAAGGAAAATACTAATGATAGACTGATACTAAAAAGTGTTGAATGAGCACTGCTTCATTCTAAATATCTGTAGGAGACACTTGTTTTGGGAATCATCATCGACTGATGTTAGAGACCGGATCTCTAAAAAGCTAGGCAACATATTGAAAAATCCACTGAAAAGGGTTATAAAATAAAGAACCATTGATAGATGTCTGTATGGGAAAAAACAGTATCAGGCTATTTTTAGAAAGTAGTGGGGGACTACTTGCAGCTCAGTGCAGGCTAAACTACGCTGCATAGAGTAGAGGTGGGACTGTTCAAATACATGCCTTTTCTAGGAGTCTTGGAAAAACTTGAGTAACATTTGCTAAAATGTTCCATTTAACTTTTCATAGCGTTGGAATTTTTTTTTAAAAGTCTTAGTTGCAGTACTTCCTCAAAACTTTACTTTTCAAGTCACTATTGCTGTCGTCCCTTCCCCCTGTACAGTCTTCGACACAACCCTCTGAATTTATCAGTGCAGGAAAAAAAGGTTAAGTTTTCATGTTATGAAAAATAGGGATTTTTTTCCCTTCCTTCTCCACTATTTTCATCTTTTCAGTAATAAAAAAGGAGGAGGGGCACTAAGTTAAAAATAAAAAGACAGTAAGATCCCTTTGATAATCTAGTACAAAAATAACATAATATTTTTTACTTACTACTTGCCAGTATCCTGAATTTCATTCTGCTCAATTTATTGCCTGACTTAATTAAGAATCAGGCCAATCTATAGTGAAGAAATATAAAGCTTAAAAATTGTATTTCAATGACAAATGACTGAAGTATTCATCCTTTGAGTAATTAGCTTGTCCCTTTGCAAGCTTCTTTCTGTTTCCTTTTAGACTTGAACAAGGCAAAAATAAAATCTTCCAACCAATGACAAGCTTCAAAATGAGTTCCAGGAACTACAGAAGCATAAAGAGACCCAAACTCCTCAGAAACAATCAGCCTACAGTATTCACAAGGTGAGATACCAAGCTGACCACAACTCATAGGGTAGGAGGAAAAGTCCAGAGTACAGAATGTAACACGTGTGACTATGTGAAGTTGAGATCTTGGTCTCAAGGCTGCTGCATTCCGTGCAGTTACCTGCTTCCTACAAGCTCTTTGTACTGACCATTCTTTGCTGCGGTGCCCTGTGCCGTTCTCTGCATTCCCAAAAGTTCAGTGGTGCAGGAACAAGTCAGGATCTGCTACAGAAGGGTCACACAGGGGTGGTCTGGGGCAGATCTGACCCAAACCCTACGTTGGTTAGCGTAAACATGCAGAGGATCAAATAATCCAAGGACGTGTGACTCAGGTCATATCAAACTCCTGTGTTTACACGGATGAAATGACCATTGCTAAGGGTGTGCCTGGGCTGCTGAAAGCGTACGTGTCTCCAGTGAGCTGATGAAAGCCCGTGGCATCGCTGGTGACAGCTTGTGCACACCTCTGCTGGGCTCTGCAGAGCTGGAGTGGGCTCTGGCTGTTCCTGAGATTTATTAGAGAGCTTGTCTGTCGTCTCAGCCAAGGGAGAGCTCTGCTGAGACTCTGGGAATGCACCAGCCCGGGTGCCGTAAAACCCGGCTCCTGCCTGCAAAGGGAGCAGCCAGAATGAAAGCAGGAGCAGGACTCAGGGGGCCCATTCAGAAGCCTCTCAGTGCTCAGGAGAGGGTTAAACTGTACTAAGGGGAAAGCCTCACCAAGGAACATAACCTTACCATGAAGACAGAATTGGTTTCTCGGGTAAAAAAAACCACAACTACCATTATTTTATTACACGTAGCAGCTGAAAAGTCTGCAGCTTTTTCTCTGTGACAATTGATAAATTAACCTTTTCAGCATTCCACTTTAATACAGTGGAAATGTCATTATTTGTATCAGGAAGACAGTGAACATAAAGGAATTTTGCATTAAAAACCAACTCCCATTTAACCTCTTTATAAAGAGCTGGCATATCCTGCTAGTTATCTGGATTTGTTTACCCTCACAGGCGTGATAGCAAACCAAACGCAAACAGCATATTTGTTTCCGAATTACAGTACGCCCACACCAGTAGTCACCTGTTATAGAAGCACATGGGTGCACGCTATAAAGTCAGGTATGTAAACGGGACTGAACAACTGGATTTTTCAGAAGTTGTTGAAAGAGCTACAAGTCTCACTGAAAAAATGCAGTTTGGTAACTACCTGTTGTGGATATCTGTCTAGCCCTGGTTGACGATTTCCAGAATTACTGAGCTATAGCTAGGAAGCTATGTGTATACTGCATGTACTCGCCAAGCTTTCTGGAAAGACTGATATAATAATTTTAGTACCAGACTATGTGTGTGTATATATATGTGTGTGTGTGTGTATACATATACATATATATATATGACAAAAAGGAAAAAAAAAGAGGATAAAAACCAAAAATGTTGATGTGATTTTGGCTACCTAACAGTGACATGGAAAGACTGTTTCCTTTTTAGAGCTTTATTCTTTATGTGTTAATTAAATTTTATCACAGGCATTGCAAGCAAAAACTTCAGTTATTATAGTCATAACAATGTGTAAGGACATTTTGTCTGGAAGTTCCCAGTTATGTAGACAGTGATATGCCTGTAAGCCATTGAAATACTAGAAGATAGAAGGCAGTTTAATACAAATTATCTCACTTCTGCTTCTGTTGAAACTATTGTAAGCTTTGACACAGGAGAAAAGGGGAAAAGAGACATCTTTAGACATCTACGTTTTTCGCTTCTAGAAGATTGTTTTCAACTTACAACTTTTACAGTTTTGTTTTTTCCACAAGTTTGTTAAATACGCTGGATCAATCTGATATTTTCAATATCTCTAGAAGCAAATGAAAGCCATAATAATGGCAGCTCCAAAGAGAGATAAAGGAGGCATGCATACGCACAACTGGAAGTGCAAAAAGAGAAGCTTGGCACAAGTCTACCCGCAAATGGAGTTTTTGGTTGACTCAGGAGGATTTCTCTGCAGGGACCCACAGTTTTAGATCAAGGACAAGTCCAAGTAACAATCAAAAGCATTACCAGGTCATCATCAACCTTGCTGAAAATGCTACAGTTCAGATCTTGATTGCAACCTACGGTATGAAGAATTGCACTGTTTATTCTCATCTTCCTTCATAGTATCTTTCCTCTGAATAAATTTGAAATTGCTATTTGAAATATCATCAGTCGAGGAAAAAGCAAAGCAATGAAAATGAAATACCCATGTCAAAACAATCTAGCAACCACTAACAGAATGAGGAATCTGCCTACCTTGTCTTCTGAATCACTTTTGGCTTCAGCTTTGCTTGGGGACACCTTAAACGTATTAGAGAAAAACAATCAATCACACCCAGCTCAGTCTTTCAAAACAGCTGAAAGATCATATGTTTGAAACTAGCATTTTTTTTTTCTAGCACAAAGGTAAAAGAAGTACAAATATTGCTTTCGTCCCCATGTGGGAAAATTTGTTATACAAATATTTCTCAAGAACAACCTGAAGCCAATGGCTAAAATTAAAAATATCAGGACCAAAGATACATTATTCAAGCTTATACACCCAATTAATCCACAAAAAACCGAACTTTTAGAGATATTACAAAATAAACTCTCATCATGCCAAAAAATCCTTAAGACAGCTAAATACCTGAGGGCCTGCAAGCATCTATGCAGAAAAGGAAGTTTCCAGAGTAGGTCATCATCATTTGCTCATAACGGCACGGTACCTACACATCTCTCCATCACTCCCAAGTCATTCTTTAAGGCATCTGTTTGGCTTCATTAATTCTCAGTGCCCGTGACAGTGGACATGTTGCATTTAGCTCAACATGGGATTTTTATAAGCAATCTAAAGCACAGCCTAGAGATGACAAGGAAAGGCAAAAGCTTACCAGTGTTTTAAGGAAACTCATGATGGAGTTATCTGCTGCAGCACCTGGCTGGGAGTTGTCTTGTTTTACCTCTGCCTTTTCAGGTTGTTCAGCAGTGAGACCGTTGACACCTGCCGACTCCTGCCGAAGGTCTTTTTGGTTGCAGTCATCTATCTCCTAAAAAAGGGGGGGGCAGAGTTTCCTCAGTCCTAGCTTGCTTAATTTCCAGTGGAATGCCAAAGTTACATTTGTCACTTGCATTATGTTGCTCAGAGTCACAACCCTAATTCCAACCATACTTCTGCAGCCTACATATTCAGAACAACTGAGCATTTATATATCTCTTTCCCCCCTTTTCTAATATATTCAGCATTTGCCGTTGGTTGGAGGAACATTGTTCTCAGCCACCAAGTATAACAAACACAAGTAAAGTTGCACACGGAATCCCAAACAACACTGCTCTTCCCTTCTCAAGGCTGAACTTCTGATTAGGAAGAAGTGCCGAGATTTTGGCCTTTAACAGCTCCGTATCTGCTTGTATCACAAAAAGATTGCTTCTGATATTCTGGATTCTGCAATTCCAGAAATAATTTTTATCTAGCAAACACAAACATGATTAATAGAAGGAAAAAAAGCAACAACCCAAAGTAATTCTTCCAAGCCAGATGGAGCTGCCTCCTCTCTTCCTGGAATTACAGTTCCCAGAGTCCCAGAATAGTTTTCCAGTGTTCAAGCACTTACAAGTATGTAATTCTAAGTTACTCAGTTTCTGTTTAGACACCTAAACAAGGATCTGGTTTTAGAAAAAAAACCTTCTTGGAACAGTTTTGGAGAGCTTGCTGCCCTTTTATGTTCAATTTGCCTGCCATCGTGGCCATTTTTGCCTTGAGCTTGCACAGGTAAAGCCAACAGAAACGTTGTACAGAGGAGAACAACTTGAGACAAGTCCTCTTGTCCCATTCAGCATTTATTCGTTTATTTTTTTTAAAGTTTAAGAGTACTACATCTGGCTAGTAATGCCTGAGCCTGTTACCAATAACCCTCCTCCCTTCTGTCTGTCTATATTGCAAGTGCAGGGTTAGATCTGTCAAGTATTATTAAAGTAAATTGTGTCTCGTACGATGGTGGCCTCGACTTTGACAGGGAAGTTGAGACATTGTTGAAGGGACAAACATAACAGTGCCATAATTCTTCAGCAGATGTTGTCATCTCCAACTAGTTAGAGAGCAGAACACATCTGGTCACTTAGGAAATAGAGACTAGAAAAGCAGTTGTTAGGCTATTAGATACCCAGATTACTCCAGAGGAAAAATCAGGACAAGAAATAAAACTGATAAACCTGTCCAGGTGCCTCCAGTAAACAGCATCTTTCAATCACTGTCCTTAAAGGCTGCCTGGAGGTCTAAGTGACACCAAGGTTTTTTTTCCTAAACTGCCAATTAGACATAGTAGTTCAGCATGGTTTTTACTAGGAAAAGTTAAAAATAAAATTGTACTATTGAGAACCTTTCTGAGTACTGGGCAATTAACCCCCCCACAATATTTGTATAGGATTTGCTAAGGACATGGCGTTTCTGTAGGTCACTGAAGGAAGAAGTAGACTAAAGATTCATACAGATTTTGAAACTTCAGAGGGCTGATTTGAGCATCAAATGGCAAGTCTCCATGCAGCATTTAAGGAGTTAAAATGCACAAGGTTTTACTTGCAAGAACAGGCTTCTGTCTAATTCTCCACCCACCATTTCCCAAGTTTATGCAGCACAGTAGTTCACAGGGCTTCAACAGGCTATTTAGAATTTTCTTACAAGGGTCTAACACACCACTTTGTCCAGCTGCCAGTTATGGACCAAAGCAGCTCCAAGAACAATATGTCCCATGCAAAACATGCTTCAGCAGCCCTGCTTCCAGGGATGCCATCAAAAAAACTCTGGTCATATGAAAAATGCTGGCTCTGATTAGAGGGGCAACAAAAGGCACGAGGCAAGAGACCAAAGAAACAGTAGGCAGAAGATGTATTGCTAAACAAAACTAGTTTCCTAACTGAGGCACTTGATACTAGCAAACAAAAATAAGCAGACTATTTTTTACAGGCACAAACCCAACTTCTGGCCTTGGGCTGTACTCTTTAAGGAGGAAGAGATCTTTTATCTAAGCACTGTGGCACACAGCTGTTTGCAGCAGCAGATGTTGCCTGGGCCAACTACAGAGGTGACAGCACGAACTGTTCCAGACTATCTCCCTGGTACAGCCACACTTTGTCCTGCAGGCTGTGCAGAGCTTGAGGCATGGCAGCATCCAAAAATTCCTGAACTCCAACCCACAGAGCACAAATGACCCCCTGCTGCAGGAGGAACCCTACTCCAGGAGATCCAAGCCAAGGCTGCCAGCAGCTACCGAGACACAACTCAAATCTGGACTTTGATGGATGCTGTGATACATCTTGTGCTTCTGTGGGAATACGACTGTAGGAAGGAGCACAGACTCAGGCCATCAACATATAAATCAGGGAGAGATAATGTGGAGTCCTACAGTATCATATTTTCAGAGCCATAGTCGAATAACTGCAAAAGTCTCTGTAGCAGCTCAGTGCACAATAGACTGTGTGAAGCCCTGGAGGCAAATAATGAAAGAAAATTCCAGAAATAACAGAAGTCAGTATTAGAAGTTAACAGATACTATGTAAATGTTCAATTCATTTTTCTGAGGAGCCAAATTTGGGAGTAATAAACACCTTAAATAGTTATACTGTAGTTTCAGTTCAGTCATCAGAAAAACATATCAAAAGAATGTATTACTGCCAGCACTTTTGTTTGTATGAATCATGGCTCAGTGAAACATTTCAGGCATATAATTTATCTTTTCTTTGGCTTACATAGTAAATGCTTCATGAATTCATGAATTCTGTCCTTGTTTTAATTATGCTGTGTTCTGAATGTAGTTTTGTAGACCGCAAAAATAAAGAGTGGTTCACCAAACACAGCATGTTTGTGCAGCTCTTAAGCTACAACTGTGGAGCCTCTCTCTTACTTACCAGCAATGCTGTTTGTTTTGTCTTGGCACTCAATTCAGGGAAACTTTGCTTTGCTTTTAGCTTTTACAGATACTACAAGTCATAATCCACCAAAAAAAAAAAAAAAAAAAAAACCGTTGGCAGCAATATCTGTATTTTTAGTAGGAGTATTTGGTAATGGTTTGTAGTTACTACAGTAACAGCAATTAAATTAGACATAGTCATTCTTCCATCCTACATGAGAACTAGCAACTTTAGAGGGAACAGAAGGCAACTGTGATGCAAGGCAGAGCCACAGCCTTTGTTTTAGAAATGGAATTAAAGTTTGGCAGCATATCAGAAGTGTTTATTTGATATATTTTTTCCCAGAAAAGGTCCTTAACTCCTCATTGCCCTCAGCATATATTCCTTTTCATATTTGAAGAATGGAAGACAAAAACTGTAGTCCAGAAATTCAAGGATAAGGTTAAAATATCACTCTCCCCTATGATACAAGTTTTGCCACTCATTTCCATGGAGCAACTTGAACTCTGATTTTGTAAGCCCTCAAAGATTCAGCAGTACAGCTTTAAGCACACAAGTAAAAGATGTACAAGCAGTTCTGTTAAACAGGAGACATGTCCTCAAGCAGGTCCCCAGGTGCCAAAAAAGCTGTGGTGTGTGCCAGGATCCTGCAAACACTTACACATGTACCAAACAACCTACGGCTGATGAGCACCTGGGATTTCCAGATTATTCCCATTAGTGAGGTTCAGGATGTGGATGGGTAAAAGCTGAAGACTGAACAGAATTCAAAATAAGAAAGATAGGCATTATTTACATAAACAAGCTTGATCTGAATGAACAGTACTTCTAGTATGTGTTTGAACTGGGAGAATAAGATTTACATTATTTTGCCCTGTCCCTGACAGTTGCTCGTTACAAACGCTTGCTTTTTCTTTCTTGACATGACTATTTGCTACCAGCAAGAGTGTCAGTCCAACTTGTGGTTAAAGCTACTTCAGACTGTTATTTCATTAGAGTTTCACACTGTACTGCTTCAACAGCACGAACTGTGACCTTCCACTCTCCATAGTCTGCAATCACAGCAAAATAGGAAATTATGAATTTTACAGTTGAATATAAAAGTAACACTTCTTGAGAGCCACAGACAAAACTTATTTTTTGTGTATATGAATCAAAAATACCTGCAGGAATTTACAGTGTTGAAAAGCTTCAATCTTATAAGCTACAAACAGAAGTGCCACTAGGCACTGAATGGATTATTCATTCTGAATTATTCACCCTGTTCTGTTTATGTAGTGAATGCCTTAATATTCTGCTAGGTTGAAACTATGGGTTGTTTAAATGCACATATATAGCTGTCTGAAGTACTAGTGATGGGTGCCACTTTTGAGGGGTGATGGTTCAATATGCAACTGTTTAGTTTTACAAATGAATCTTAATAAAAATATTACAGTTTAAGTTTTATTACGAAATCTAATCTTCAAATTTAAGGAGGTATAGGATAGGAAAGACAAAGTAGAATAGAAATTGAATAGACTTCTGGAGACAACCTGCAATGTCATCATGTGAGCAGTGAACATCTCTTGAACTACGTCTGATGCTATTCAAAGCATTAGAGATCATACAGCAGTCTTACTTGTAAGCCGTTTTTGTAAGGCCAGTAAAAGCAGTTGCTACTAAAATGGCTTTTAAACAGATTGTAATGAGAGGGTCACACAGCTAGTTTCTCCCTCCTGTTCCTTATGTTGGACAGGATTTGAGATAGATCACCAGTCATACCCTCAGTGAAACTAGTAAGAGTTATGTCACTTATCCCCATCCAGGGGATGGACTTTTTCAGTAGTTAGTTACTTGAAAATTAGTCCTATACTATATTTGCTGATAGTAAACTTTGCAGGAAGTGTAAAGTCTACATCATGTATGTTTTCAGCTTCTTTCTTTGATTAGTGTGCTCTCTCAGATAAGTTATTTAATTTCTTATATTCTCATCCTGTAAAATCAATTCCAAGGGACTATGCTTCCTTTAACAAAAAAAAAAAATACATCACAACTGCTAAGAGTGCAAAGATTGCTCCTGCATATTATTCCTTGTTCTGGTATGTGGGGTATGCAACAAGCAGCTATTGCTCAAGAAGAGTGCCTGTTTTAAGAACGGCACAAAACATGTTAGAGAGCTGCTTAAAAACCATCCAATGTCAAACTCCAAGCTCCTAAAGCATAAGAAACAATTTTACTTTCAGGTATTTTTGCTTTTATTTGCAGCTGTCTGCTGTTCACTGTCCTGGCTTGCCTCAAGCACATCGCCACAAGGCAGGCACCAGAGCTATTACCGCTCTGCCATGGGTTCTTCTCCCAAACCTCTATTGAGCCACCCCTGCAATAATTTTAAGAACAACACCGATCCATTCGCCCAGCCATCATGGCATTGAGTTGTCTTGTGCTATTAATATTCCTAAGAGGTTTCATAAAGAGCAAAATGGATATTCCTACTCAAGCACTTGCCTTCCCCAGCAGGACACCGCCTGATGTGCTATGTAGTCCAGCAGCCTCTTGCGCTGTGATGTGCCCGTCGGGGAGCTCCAACGACGTCTGCCTTTCCTCCTGGGGATCAATTTGCGTCTTACTGCTTTCTTTTTCCTTCCCCAGCTTGAAGATCCTGTCAAAGAAGGCTACTTGTCTTGGCTTTGAGGCGGCCACATCCTCTCCCTCAGGTGTCACCGATGCTGTGAGGTCGATGTCACACAGGGATGCTGCTGGTGGGGCCGGGGTCAGGTTTTTATGTGCCCCTTCCTCCCGTGCAGCTGCTGCGGGAACCTCCACCCTGTCACTCGGTGCTTTGTTCGCTCCGGCCGCCTCTGGGCTGACATCAAGTTTCGCCGATCCAAGGGATGAATCCGTCGCTGGGTCTTCAGTACGTCCTGGTACAGACCATGAAAACGCGAAGACAGAGTGGGCTTTTGCAGATGGCAGAGCTCTCCTGGCAGCGCTCCCGAGGCTCTGCCCGCCCGCCTCGGGAACGGGGCTCTGCTCTATTGTCTTCGGGGAAGAAACGGCCGCATTATCCCCTGCAACACTTGCCTTTGCATCCACTACAAACAGAAGTATAAAACAGTAATTATCCAGCACATCCAAGAAGTTATACTGGTTGTACAATTCATCATGGTGATCTCGCTCTTTAATAAACTAATTATGAAACGTGGAGCCTCGGGGAGGACTGCACAGAGGGTGGCTTTTTTAGAGTCCCTCTAGCCTTCCTGTGCTAAATACGAGCTGCTGCTCATCTATCAGACCTGACCGTCTGATTTTCTTTCCTGTCATTCCTCACTGAAATCGGTGCAAGTTTTACATCCTCCACAGTCCCCCTCAGCTGCCAAAGTCAGATAACGGTCCAGGCTTTTGACTGCTTAGCCCAGTGGACATGATGAGGCTATTTTACTTTCCAATTTAAATTAGTGATATGATTTTTGGTTTTGTTTATTCTTTTGGTTTGTTTTTTTTAAATCAATAAAACTTGAGAAGAAGTTTTATATTAATATGTTACACTTTCCTCTGTCAAAGCTAAACATGGGAAAAATAATGGAAACCTCGAGCACTGATTTTGTTTCCTGGCTTGCTGAACTTCCCACAGGGCTTTGCAGTCGTGACTTACTTCATTCCTTTTTCCAATGCTGTTCCTGGCCTGGCTGCCTACTCTCCATAGTGCTGTTTCTACTTACACCTCTCCTCTATTGTCTGTAGGTTAATTTTAGCCTGATTTGAATGCTTATAACTCACATCTGAGCCAAACTTTCTATCCTTATGTTTCTGACTCTTTACCCACAAACATTATGGCTCCTAATCACATTACTCCCTCTCTCCAAACTCTTGGAAAAAATTCCCCTTTTGTGTACATAGATGTGAAAAAAAATCTTTCATCTTAGAAGTATATTTTATGACTTTATATTATAATGGCACTTTGATAGTAGGGCTGGGGTAAAAAATCCATGATACTGTATATGCACACAGGAGGAGAAGGCTCCTGCATTACAGAAGACGAAAGAAAGAGGTATCTCTTATATCTGTTTTGTGGATGGGAGACTGAAACACTGATTATGTGGTGTGAAACCCCAGTAAACAAGAGGAAGCCCATTTAGAGGTAAACCTTACAGCTGCCTCTCAGCTTGAGCTTCTCTTCCCTACTTTGACTAGAATGTGTATTTCATTTCCCTGTCAATCATCACCACTTATTTCAGGGATGGATTTAGATCTACTTAATTATAACTGCGAAAAACTGACAGCCTCAAACTCACCTGCTAAATTAGAATTTTCAAATTGTCAGTTTCGGTGTAAAATTGAATTATTTCAAATTATAATTGTAATAGTCTTGTCAATATTGTGCCCTTCACATTTTACTTTAATAGCAATAAAACCCCAGATACCAACAAAATGTGACTAAAGTGCTTGTCTTCCGCAGTACAGACCTTCAGTGTTTAGTTTAATTTTTTAAATTCCTCTTTAAGATCAGGGAAGCAGAACATTTTTAGATCACAGCTTTCAAAACTACCCTTTAGATTTTCACAGCAAAATTACCCAAACTTTCCAACCCTCCCCCTCCAGTGATTTTGCAAGTGCAGGCGCACCCAGCAGTGACATCCCCTTCCCCATGGCCTTTATTTGGTGACTGAGGGTCCCCGCTGGACCCTTGTTTCACAGTTCAGGGTTTGCCCTGACGAGCGGGAGGTAGGAACTCCTGTAAACCCGAGAGATGAGAGGTACAGGAACGTGCCAGCGTGAATCTCAAGTGACTTCACGGGAATCCTTGCCAGCAGTGGCGGCAGCAGCTGATCAAGTGGTGGCAGATTCACAACCGGCGCCAGCATTTCACCAGCTGCTGGGGAGCTGGCTCCTAACTTCTCTTTTTTAATCTGACATTTACTTTCTTATTGTGTTTTGGGCATATGCAAGTGGGCCAGAGTACCTCAGTACAACCCGTTCTGTCCAGGTAAACAGATTTTCACTTCTTTGTGTGCACTCTAGTAGAGAAAATGTCTTTCCCTGGATTCTTTCTGTTACTATTCAGGTAAGAAGAAACACACTGGCAAGAATCCTTTGTCAGTAATATTATTCTGCAATATTTCATGAGCACCTATTTCAACACACTGACATACAAAGGTGCAAATAACTAGCTATTATTTATTCAGCCACTATAAGTTATTTTCCTAAACCTTCTATACTACTATACGAAAAAGAACTGAAGCACTAACTTCTAATTATAGTTGGAAACTTGGAAGGAAGCAAAAAGCAAACCCTTCCCCAGCTAAAGAAAGCAGAAACAATATCCATTGGAAAATAATTGTAATAGCCGCTGAACTTCTGCTTTATGTAAGATAAAAAATTAAACACAGGAAAACTGTCTTTAGTATAAAAATAGGAATATAAGCTCATCATTAAGAAAACCAATGAAACAAAAAGTAGCTCATGAACCTATCAAGCTTCTTTTATCTCTAATTATCATGGAAGGAATGAAAGACCTGGAAAATATCACTAGTGTGAGCTCTGCAGTGTGTCACTTGTGTCAAAACAGTTCAAATTATTTCAGGGAAAATCTCCTCAAGACACCAGGCAAAAAGATCCCACCACTGGAGAGGAGACACTACTATGGTGGGCTGAAGAGTTTGACTCGTGCCATAGTCACAGCAAACTGTGAAGGAAAAAGGTTTTGAAATTGCAGCATTTGGATGAAAAGTGTATGATATTTTTGTTTTTTAAAAGGCAAAGAAGTTTTATTCTTTCCAAAATTATTCCACAATCCAGAGACAGAATTAGGAAGAGAAGCAAAACCTCCCAAATTCTAGGTGAGGTCTTCAAGTAGATCAAAGCTGCTCGCTTTGAATGAGGTTAATAACTGGTCTGCAACTAAAATCAATACACAATTCACAGTACTGCTCTGAGGTTGCATTTCATACTTGTACACAGACATTTTCCTTTTAAGTATTTAACAAAAGACAGTCACACTACAGAAGATTTGTCCTTCCTTTCCCTTCACTTCATCAGGATATGTTAAAAAAGCAATACTACAGCTGCACAAAGTTCCTCTTCTGTAAGAACACACTCAAAATAAGGATTTTTTTTCCTGAAACTTGTTAGATTAGACTGACATTTTTTCCTTGAATTAAGAAAAACGGTACAGAGAATAGTTGTGCAATGTTACGTCAATACCACTTGCCTGCTCAGAAGCAATTACTGACAGACTTTCTCCCCCTTCCTTTCATATCTTTGACTTCTGCATTTTAAGCACTCCCATAGGCTGAGGATGAAGAACAGCACCAAGTTTGCTGGCACAGAAATAAACCAAGTCTGGAGAATTAGCACTGAATTTTTAAAAAGTGCTTAGGTTTTAATAGATGAAGCCAACAAATAAAATATAGTAATGGATGAAGCCTTAAGACAAGAACAGGCTTTAAGCTGGCCATGGGAGCTGCAAATCTGACCATATTGGTATAGAATTACTTCTGTTCATTACCAGACCAAAAGTACCCAGAACCCGACAGGCAGGCAGCAGAGCTCAGAGAGCATTGGTGCAGAATGCCTGCAGCAAAGCACCTATTTCCCCTGTGTTTGGGACCAAAATGCAGCCCTTGACTAGAGGAACGGCACATGTGCACAGGAATCCTGAGGATGCAGCTGACTTAAAAAGGAATTTCAGGGCCACCAGTCTGACAGAAATGAAAAGGCTGTCCGAGCTTTTGTCAGCTGCTTTGCTTTTGCTAATAGTAGGAATAAAAGCGGACTCCAGCCTGGTGCACATCACAGATAGCAGTCAAACTGCCTTAAGTGGGACCAGAAGGAATTCTGCCCAGCACTTCCAGATTGACTTTCCCCTTCCCTCCACTATAAACTGTTTTTGCTGAAGCTTAGTTTGCTCTTTTTATTCCTGGCCTGAGTCATGTACTAGGTAGGCAGCTATTTTTGTTAAATCCTTCAGATGCTCCTTTCCCTTAACCTTTGATCGCTAGTCTGATTTCAGCAGTTATGTGCACCCTCATGTCTAATACTTACTCACAAGGAATATTTTATAAGGTTCTGTGATATCTTACATTGGCAGCTTCTCACCTCTTGAGATATATCCTATTGACTCTCGTAGTGCAAGTAATTTTTAGCTGTTGAACAAGAAATAACTTGAATTGACAAGCTCCTCAGCAGAGACATCTCCTCCTGTAGGCCACTAGCATGCGAACATGCAAGGAGAAAATGTTTTCTGATGTTGTTGCTTTTGAAAATAAAATTTTGGTTTTAAACTGAACTGAGCAAGCTATTACGTACAAATACAGTTTTAGTATCTTTGACTATTTTGAATACAAGACAGTTGCAAACAAATATTTTGCTTAGCAGTATAATTACAGTACCACAGCATTATCTTGTTCCCTGGAGTTCAGTTAATTGTGGAGACAATAGATTTTAATGGCCATGAAGGAACCATTACGGGCTATAAGGCGACATTTGGCATTAAGAAGTCCATCGGTGTAGGCCAGCACAATGGATTATAAAAGCTCCGAACAAGTTAATGCAGCAAATACTAGGGCTAAAAATCTAAATACCTAGCAATAAAGAGTGAATTTTACAATTTACATTTCTGATAAATTTTTTAATATATTGTTGGTTATTTTTTCATTCTGTTATTAAGAATTAAGTTGGTATCATGAGCTACAGAAGGTGTCATATTTTCAGATCGCCAGGTACACCTCGTGTTTGTGTGGGAGACTCCGAAAAACTGTTGTGACAAGATGAAATGACTGAGTTTCCAGAAGCATTAGAGAATTCCAAAATAAGACAGTTTCCCCTTTTCTTAAAGAAAAATTGCACTAATTTTTTTTGTTTCAATTCTGCTCAACAATTCCATGCAAATAAAGTTGACAGTACATTTATGCACTAAGACTAATCTTGTGTCACTAAGTTAACTAGCATTGTTATTTACCTAACAGTTTTAATAATAGAATCATAGAATGTTAGGAATGGGAAGTGACCTCTAGAGATCAACTAGTCCAACCCCCTGCCAAAGCAGGATCACCCAGAGTAGGTCACACAGGAACATGTCCAGGCAGGTTTTGAA